CCTTGGGGCCGCCCGGGGGCAGTGTTCACGTGGCAGGCAGGCAGCATCGGGAAGTTTCTCTGTGGTTCAAACGGCGCTTCTCCTGGGGATGGGGCGCCAGAGGCCAGGGGTGGCCCGCACCTTACCCCCCGCCCCTGCTGGGCCTGCACCTCCCGGCCTGAGCTCTGGAACATTCCTCGTCACCAAAGTGCATCCTGTCCGTGTGTGCACTTTCCACCTGTCCGTGTGCTCGGGGGACTACAGGGCTCTGTACCGGCAGACTGACCATGTGGTTCCCTCCCCGCAGGACCGGGACAGCCTCCTGGTGCTGTGGTCCCCGTGCGGGAGCACCTGGGCTGGGCATCGGCGACATCATGGCCCTCGTCGCCCGCAGGGCAGCCTCGTCTGTCTGGAGGGCCTCCGTCAGCCCCCACCCAGCCCTTCTTCTGGCCGGCCGCCCAACCGCCTGCCCCACCCGACACCAGGTGGCCCCCGTGTCACTAAGTGTCACAGGGACACAGAAGGTGACAGAGGGCAGGAGACGTGCTGGTGGGGGGCGAGCGCCCCTCACCCCTGCCTGCCAGCAGCCCGTTCTCAGGAAGCAGCTACTCTCACCCTGTATCTCTATGTGTGTCTCTGCATCTGTCTCTTACTGTCTCCCTCTCTGTCTCTTGCACATGTGCACATCATCCATTCTCGTTAGTCATGGTAGCTATGTTCTAGAAAGTCACCCCAACTCCGAACTAGCAAATACTGGGAAGGCTGAACCATCCCTTCTCTGCCAGTGCGGGGTTGGGTCCCTGCAAGCTCCGCGCACATTTTCAGCAGCCCTCTGAAATACCTGGCGTGATGTGTGCTTCTGTTTGAAGCGACCCATTTCACAAATACCTAACACACATCGTGTTTGACGTTGGATCCCGGCCGGCAGTGCTGTAACGCGCCTGAACAAGGCTCGTCTGACACGGACTCTCCCCGGAAGGCACACGGCAGCCTTACTGTGCTCAGAGCCCCAGACCTTCAGCGCTGAGCCTGCGGCCACGTGAGCCAGCAGAGCCACAAGCCCGAAGCCCAAAGTATGGCACTAAGGACACGCTGAAAAGGACACGCTTGTATCTGGGAATGCAGGGCGTTGCCACGTTCCACGTCAGCTGGGGACGTGTGGCGGCATCTTACACCTGGGGCACTCTGCACGTGTCCACGCGTGACCACGCACACATCACAAGTGGTGATTGGGGTTACAGATGCATGTTAGTGAGCGGTGGGTCACAAATAAAGAATCCATGAATAATGAGATTGACTTTATCCACCTCTCCTTTCTCTATGTGTAGATATGGGCATATAATGGATTTGTGTGTATACATCTTCAAAATACAAACTGCGGGGCGCCTGGGTGGCTTAGTCGGTTAAGCGTCCGACTTTCGCTTAGGTCATGATCTCGCGGTTCGTGGGTTCGAGCCCCGCGTCGGGCTCTGTGCTGACTGCCAGCTCGAAGCCTGGAGCCTGTTTCAGTCTGTGACTCCCTCTCTCTCTGCCCCTCCCCTGCTCACGCTCTCTCTCTCTCTCTCTCTCCTAGAAATAAATAAAAAATATTAAAAAAAAATACAAACTGCATCGTATTCTACCCACTCAGCTTTTTCATAACTTAATAGAATGCGCAGTCCTGTGAATACGTAGATTTCTCTTCCTTGTTTACAGCTGCGTAGAATTTCACATCGTGCTGCGTTTGGGCTTGTATTCTTTTCCGTCTTTGTGCTTGCAATCTTCTTATGCCCT